CTGAGAAAGCAATAGAGGATGATCACCCATATAGAAAACCTGGGTGGAGTTCCAGGTACCTGGCTTTCAGCCTGGTCCAGCCTCAGCCACGACAGACCTTAGGTGCCCTCACCAGGAGATGCAGTATCTCCCTTTATCCCCCTCTCACTGTCACTCTGCCTTTTCAAATAAACAAATAAATACTTTTTAAAAGATCTGTCAAATTTTAAGAAATGGCAGATTACAAATATTTTATCCTGCATAATTCTGTTTTAAAAGAAATATTGCCTGAAAAGTTCACTATATAAAACAAATTCAAAGTACTCTGGCTGAATAGAGAGTTAGGAGTTGCATTCAAACAGTTTTCCCTTTAATAAAATCCTTTGATGCAGACGATACCTATGAGATTGTCTGTATCATGCTTGGGAAGCCAACCGCTTGGCAGCCATTTAAAAGTTACTGTACAACAGAAAGCATCAGAGAATGGCTAATCTTACGGGAACTGTTATCTTTGTGAAATGACTCAGTTTTAACATAGCCATCTGCAATTACTGCCATTGAGAAAGTCCATCCAGTGGGACCTAGTAATTCAAGTTGAACTGACAACATTTTTGGTTAACCTGAAAATGATCTCTGCAAACACAGTAGCAAAAAACCATCCACCACTAACAGCTCAAATCTGTCCACACCCTGCATAATATTCTTCAAATATCTCAGGTCACTCTCCACAATTTTTCTTCCGTTACCTTTCTACAAATTTCACACCAGGCATGTACATATTACTTTGCCTAGTTTAGTGTTAACCAATTGAAATGCATATGATGCGTGCCAATTAGCTATCTTAAAATTTTTGGTACTCCTATTTAAAAAGGCTGAAATTAATTGCAATATACAACTGAATTCAATATATCCAAATACTATCAATTCAACATATAATCAATAAATGGCATGATATTAAGACATTTTCTTTTTTCCATTAAAAAATCCAAAGCATAGTTTATATTTATGGCATGCTGGGTTATGAGTATGCGATCTTCCATATTTGGTAGGTATGCATTTAGTTAAACTGAATCTAAAACTAACAGAAGATCAGATTAGCAATTTTCTATTGTTCTTGTAGCACATATGAGAATACTAAGAGAACGCAGAATGAGCTGGTTCCTTATTAAGTAAAACAGTCCCAGAGTTACAATAAAGAGAAGTGAATTCCAATCCACACCCTGCTACTTCCTAGCGAAGTGATTTTGGTCACATATCTCAGCACACATATTGCAATAAACCTGCAGTGTCCAGATACATGGATGATGAAAAGACTCGAGAGAGTTGCTATGAAATTTAAAGAAGAACATGTATTTGTATATGCAACGGCCTAGAATAATTCCTACTACTCCCACTGACACCACAAAGCAACTAACAGCAGTGTTGGTGTTTCTGAAGAGAGGACATTACCAAGAATTAATAAATTGCAGTATCATATGAGGTTCCTCTACATGGGACATGAAGGAAAGGGATTCAAAGAAGACAAATTTGAATGGGGTTAAGATCTCAATAAAAACAGTGTGAAAAATGAGTCAACAATAGAAATGGCTGTTGGTTCGACCTGGTGATCTGCAGTTACTAAGTGAGTGAGAAAAAAAAAAACTTTCCAGGGTGTAGGGAGAGGACAGACAGCCAGGAACCAATGATGAAGGTATTGGGGAACTGGAAAAAGCTTATGGAAGAATAAAACAAAAATATAAGTTTATTTTGGTACAACAAAATGTTGAACACCATGCATAGTTTTTCATAATATACATTTCTATGTGCTTTTTGAATACTACTCTTATGCATGCATTTCACCAAAGTAAATGTACCTTTGATTCTGTTTTCCACACACTTTTTGATGTATTCTCATATATAGAGTGGGTGGGAATGCTCTGAGTTGCTGATCAACACCACAGTGTCAGCCCAACTTACTAAAGACCCCACTAGAGTAAAAACAGATTGCACAGGGGTGTGCAGAAGGAGCAGTAGTTCTAGTAAAACCAGCCAAGTAGGCAGGCCACAGTGGGGATCTTAACGGGAAGGCTGGGGACAGCCTGTGTTGGGGACTTACAAGGAGCTCCTTTCTGTGTTAGAAGCCCACAGAAGGTTAAGTTACTGCCAGATCAGGTGGAGGCTTCGTGGTCACTGAGCCACCATGTGTTCTGAATGAGTGGCTAGCTCAGAGCTCCTTTGGCTGCCCTCCACTAGAGCCCCACCTCCTCGCACCATCCCTCCAGTGCCCTCTACCCAGAATGCTTAGTCCTATATGTGCTGTAGAGCAGAGGCTTAAGGAAGGAATTCTGTCCACTGGTCACACCGCAGATATTAAGTGGTGATTTTAGAACTGAGAGACAATAAACTGATAACATACAAAGATAGACTGGAGAAGCTAATTTTTGGTCCTTAGTTCAACGAACTTTCTTATTATGTTACTTCTTATGTTTCTTCTTATGTTACTGTGATAACCCTCTTTGGTTCATTGGAGAAATAATGTTCACTATGTTTGTCTTCTTTGTAGGTAGACAAATTGGCCACACGGGCAAACAGGAAAAAAACACTGATAGATATTTAACATTACTGAGTCTGTGTGTTCTCTGGAATAATGGAAATTAAAATCCTTACACAAGTTTGCCGTGAGAATTAAAGAAGACAACATCAAATCCTCACTTAGATCTGAGTCATGGGAAACATATAAGGGAATTTTATTTTGTAATTCATGATTGCTCCATCATCATGATCAAATTACTTCCCAAAGGTCTCCACCTCCCTCCTAATACGATTGTGTATTGGAATGTCAACATCAGAATTTTGAAATGACATAAACAGTCATTGATACTCCACTCCTAACCCTCCAAAATTCATGTCATACTCACATGCAAAGTGCATTCATCTCATTCAAAAAAATTCAAAAGTCTTAACCCAAAGCAGCAGGAATTCTAATGTCTGAAATGTAGATTTACCTAACCATCATCTAATGCAAAACGAGATGCAAAAATTCCTCTCCACTATGAATTTGTGAAACCAAAGAAAGGATGTTCTTTCAATAAGAAGTAGCAGATAGGTATAGAACATACACACTTAAAAGGAAGAAACAGGAAAAAAGGCAGGGAAGACAAATCCCAAGTAAATTCAAAACCTAGCCTAAGATCTCAAAGCTTCAGAAGAATCCTTTTTGGCCTGAGCTCCTGATTTTCAGGTCACATCCTCACAGTATGGCAGCTTGTTTCTACCTCATTTGGCTGGATAGGGTGAGACCCAGGCTGCCACTCTGCATGTGGAGCCAGAGAAAGTGTCCAGACAATTCTCTACAGTGACCCATCACTTGAAACACAGTGGAGAGGGGCATGCTAGCCTGCAGTACTAATAAGGCAGCCGTGGCCTTTGACAGAATGAATTATCTCTGCCCTTGGGCTCTGTGACAGGTGTTACCAACCCTGATGAAACATCTGTGTCATTCTTCCCCTATTTGAAAGGACAGCACATGTTAAAAGAGACTTCCTTAATTTATCCCATTTTCTCTGTTCTCTTTTGTCCCAGGCAAGTCTTCCTACTAGAATAATTCCATCTCAATGAAGTAATTTTCAGACATGAATGATTAGACCCATGGTTCACATCTAAACTAATTTCATCAACTGCACGTCCAATGCCCTTTTAAGAACCTGATTTCTCATTCTGTAGATAAGCTAAGAATTTTCCAAATCTTTAAGCTATGGTATGTTTTTGCTTAGAAATTCCTTCCATTGTCCAGCATAATGGCATGATTGGCTAAAACTCTTCTTTTAAGCAGCAGGATACCTTATCGGTGCAGTTTCTTTCCCATCTGCTCCACTGCCCACTCAGCTCCCTGTTGTGGCCTGGGAAAGCAATAGAAGATGACCCAAAGCCTTGGGACCCTGTACCCTGTAGGAGACCTGGAGGAGGCTCCTAGCTCCTGGTTTCAGATCAGCTCAGCTCCAACCATTGCAGCAACTACAGAGTGAACCAATGGATAAAACATATTTTTCTCTGTCTCCTCTCTGTATTTCTGCCTTTGCAATAGAAATAAATAAACCTCAGAAAAGAACTTCCTTCTTCAATCAAGTTTTTTATTGCATTGAAGTTTCACCCTCTAGAAAACTCTAGAACATGAATAAAACTAAATCAAGTACTTTGCTGCTTATGGCAAGCATTGTCTTCTGTCTATTGTTCAATAACTTGCTCCTCATTTTGCTCCTGGCTTCAGCCTGGCCCAGCTTTGGCCATTACAGGTATTTGGAGGAGGAAATCACCGATGGAAAAATTTTCACTGTCTCTCTCTGTGGTTTCATCCTCCCAATAAATAAATGTAATGTTTTTAAAAAGATAAGCTCATTTTAGTGCAAAAAGGTTGATGTCTATGTATATGAGGCATCTGCATAAGCTTTATGAGAAATATACATCATTAAAAAAACACATGAATTCCAAATTTTTGAAATACACAATATAAAGAGATTCATTATGACGTACTGACTTGTGTGATTCTACAGGCCAATATGTCCTATAATTGGTCTTCTGAAAGCTGGTGGCCCAAGAAGACTAGTAATATATTGCAAAGTTTGGAAAGCTGGAAAACCATTGATACTATTACAATCCAGGTATAGGGCCTAAAAATCAAAAATACTAAGGGCAAGCAGCAATTTATATATTAGGTCACATAGGCAGGCAGAGTTAACTCAAACTTTCTGCATCTTTTGGTTATATCCAGCCTACGAGTACACTCCATGAGTCCCACCCACTTCAGTGACGGTATATCTCCTTTACTCAGTCCCTTATTGCAAAGGCTAGTCTCTTCTGAAAATATTCTCACAGGTACAGCCACAAATACTGTTTAACCAGCTGTCCAAGCATCACATACTCTAATCAAGTTGACATGCAAATCCATCATGCACTTTAGAGTAAAGAGTGGTAGAGCAAACAATTACCCAGTTAGAATTTTAAAAAATCTTGATTACATACAGGAAAAAAAAAAAAAACTGTACCTTTGTGAAGCCTATCTGCTCCTTACGGAAATTTTCCAAAGGTTTAATCAGCAAATCACCAGCGTTTTGTACCTATTTAAAAAAAGCACACATAGTAAATTCTAAGCTAACAAAAATTCAATACAAACTTCCTTGTTACCACGATATTTTCTTATACTTCAGATCCCTAACTAGTTTTCTGCACTGCTGTGTTGTTACTAACATTTCCCATATTGTCTCTGATAATCAAACGGTTTGAGATGAAATGGGAGATTGAACTTCAGGGGCATTTCCTTAACTTTGATGGGAGTGTGACCTGAGATCTCAATTGGTAACTGTCTAAAGTCATGTTCAGAGACAGACACAAGGGAACGTGAAGAACGTGTGGAAAACAGTAGAGAAAGGGAATGGTGAATATATTAAATAAGGCCAGTTGCCTCCAATGCAAACCATTTCGTGGGAATTAGCAGTAAAAAATATTAGGAAACAACCCAGATGCCCATCGAAACAAGAATGGATAAAGAAACTGTGGTACATCTACTCCACAGAATATTACTCAGCCACTTAAAAACATGAAATTCTCCCATTTGCAACAAAATGATCCCAGCTGGAGTATGCCTGGTGAAGTAAGCCAATCCCAAGAGGACAAATACCATATCTTCTCTCTAATATAAGGCAAACTTCATGCAAAATACAAGATCAATAGATACATAGATAAACATACATATACATATGCTGTCATAGATTAACTGTGTAATGAAGACTACCACACTGGAAAGTGAAGATACATCACAATATGCATCTCTACTCGTGAAGAAAAGATGAACTCTCAATGAAACTGCTAACTATATCTTGACAATAGGATGCTGGACTTTTCACCATAGCTTATATTTACAATGTCGTCATACAGTTAAATAGAAGAATGATGAACTTATGACTGTTGCTGAACGACTGTTCCATTGTTATAAGGGAAAACAGTGGAGGAAAGGACAGGAGGAGGTTGGAAGGGGAAATCTCTGAGCCTAAGGAACTGTATCATGAAAAATAAAATTTTTTTAAAAATAGAGAAAATCCCAGTAGAAACAATTTCGAGTCCTGCTCAAGTGTGTCGTAAACTCGAAACATTTCTTTCAGAATACAGAGTAGATTACAGTACCACAGAAAACTCGGGATACAGAATTCAAATGACCCAACTATAGATGCCCAAAAGATGACAGGATTTTCTTGTCCAGGTTGTGCATGTAGTAACATTGATAGGTTGTGGAGACATGAAAATATCAGGTCCAAAGTGGATCTCTTACTTTGTTGACAGGTTAAAAAAAAATACACAGTTTGCCTTATTCCTAAATGCCTCTTGGGAAGGTATATCTGTTCAAGGTAACAGGTGGGGTATGTTTCCTCAGCGGTAAGAATACAACACAAGACACTGGAGAAGGTATCTGAAAGGCTGGCTTCAGGACACATTGCATGTATTAAAATGGAGAAATAAGGAACTGATTTCCTAGCGAGATAAGACAGAAACAGAGGACAGAATAGTAGAAAGTCAGTTTTGTCTGGTTTCTAATTCTCCAAACTAAGAAGTAACTCTTAACCTACCACCAAAAAGCATGAAAAGTCAGGACATTAGTACCTGTTTTTATCGACATCTTGCCAGTGCTTTTGGGTCTCCTATTTTGTGTTTATTATTCAAGGTTAACCTAAATGAGCAAACTTATAATAAAGCCTTGTTCATCTTCATATCATCTAGTAACCCTGACATCTTTCTTGATCCACTGTAACTGCTAATGCTACCATTCAGCACTGTCAACATTCGGCAGATAATACAAAACTTAGGCAAGAAGAAAAGTATTTTGCTATTGGGACAGAGCCATTATCTATATGCATCCTTATCATCAGTGCTTCTAAGGCTGGCTTTCCAAATCTCCATTTGCTGCAAGTCTAGACTTGCAAAATCATGTAACACTTCCCTATCCTTATTCAATTGTGAGGGAAAAATGGATATCTTGCCTGCCAAGACTTTGCAATTATATCTGACTCTCAAAACCTCAAATGGATCTATGAAAGCTTTTTTCCAGACACCATTTAATTCTGCTTACATAAGAATGTACCTCTTTATGTGACACTTAACATCTCCTTTATCCCTGAATATGTACCTTATCCAAAGGCAAGAAAGTTCACAAACTCATACCTATAGGACCCCCAAGCAGAAGCTTTCCTATATAGGTTGTGATTTTTATAAAGGTTCACTTTGATCTCTCTCCCAATTTGAACTCCATTAGCAGCTCAGATTTCAAAAAATAAAGGCATAAGTAAATTTCTTTACCTGGAATTAAGAATTCTTCTGACAAACATATCAAACCATATTTCTTGTCCAGCACATTCTGCACTTCCTTGGACAATGAATTGTGTGTTACAAACTCTGTACTTAGGTGGAAACAAATCACTGATATCCAAGACGAGGTAGGGGGAGAAATTTTTTTCCCCTTTATTATGTAAGTCTCACACTATTGCTGCAATTTGTAGAAACACTGAGCTGTGGTCTAGTCCCTGTAGACTTTGAACATGAATGAGCTTGAAATCAACAGAGTAAAGTTATCTGATGCTGCAATGATTCTGAAGCTAAATCATAAGAAGCCAGAGGAACATTTTCTCTGCAAGAAATTGGACTTGGACTGCACTGAGAATACCAAACTGTGGAAAGGCCAAATGAAAGCATTCTGCTCACTGTCTCAAGCAAGCTCAAACAAGCCTGTTAGCCAAGCCTATCAGGTTGCCAGATACACGAGGAGAGTCATATAGGACCCTCAATAACAATTCATCTACCAGCCAAATAAACTAAGGAGATAATATGAAATAGTGCTGGTTTAGCCCATTAAGTTTTTGGAATATGTTGATATGCAGCACTTGGCAAGTAGAAAAACCATCTCTGGTTCCACAAAGGTAACATATAAAAAGTGACCATCTGGGAAACAGTGAGGTAGTATGTCTTTCAGCAAAACGTAAACATGAACTTCCAATGAGAATGGCACATACCAAGCCTAATTATGGTTACACAATTGGGCCTTTGCATATTCCGACACATCTAGGCTAGCACAATTGAAAGATTTCCATGTTCAGGAGGGTACTGTCCTTCATACGCAGGTATACCAATAACTTCTCATAAATGTTACATAAGTCCCATGCCTTTTATATGTTTGGCTTCAGCTTAGCCTAGAAAAGTATGACATGATTCAAATAAACTGGAGTTTGTAGTTTTCCCTAAATTATATTAACAAGACAGCTCCCAGGCTTACATTACAAAGGTACATTATGAAACTTTTCCTCTGTTTCAAACTCTATCTATGCTCTGTGGGAACACAGTATTAACAGTGTAGGAAGACACATCGTGAATCTTGACTTTTTTTTTTTTTTTTGCTTCATTCTAACTTGTCCTTAAACACCTAAAAAGTCTTGCAATTACTAAAAAAAAAAAAACTTGAAATAAACTTGACATTGACTCTCCTTTATGATCACTGAGTTCATTTTGTGAGCTCTCTGTAATTAACACTCCTAACTCTTAATTCAGGGCGGAATCCTTACCATGAAAAGCAACAACACTAACGGGCTGATCAATCAGTTTCTTACCAAATCAAACCCAAATTAATAGTAACTAGAATATTTAAGAGAATAGAAATTATACTCAGTCCAATGCTACAGAATTGCTAGGGAAACTTTTATAACAAATTACCAAAAGATTGCATTCAGCATACACTGTCTCAAATACTAGGTGCCTCTTTAGGTCATTTCTAGCAGCGTTCACAGCCAGACTTGGTATGTTCCCTATAGGGCCCCCTTTAGCACTAGAAAGGCACAGAGATATGTTTCCTAACCATACAGGAAGACTGCAATCCAGACATTCAAAGGCCTTTTGAAATATTGCAACTTTAATCAGGCTACTTTTAAGATCACCATACCTGGAAGGCTCTTCCTCATTCTTCTCTTCACAGTTACTACCACAATTTATATTCATTTATGGGAAAAACTGAACATTGCTATAATTGCCACATTCTGTGAACTTCCTAACACTTATTTTGAATTCCTCTTGTAGAAGGGATGAGAAATGGCTTAACAGCTCCAAAATTATCCAGGTTAAGGTAGAGGAGTCCTTTTCCCACAGTCCCAGTAAGTAAGAGAGGTTCCATCAAGCAATGAATTCCTGGCATGGTGTGAAAGGCTCTCATTAAGCCTAATCTCCATAGTATTCTCGGAATTAAGAGGGAAATGGAGAGCAAACATTCAATACATGATTTGAAAGTTCCAGAGACAAAAAGGCAACATAATTAAAAAAAAAAAAAAGAAGAACTGGTCATGTGGCACTGGGCTAGTTAGACGGGTGAGAAAAACAACATCTCAAAAAAACAAATTCTACTTTAGTATTTTATACAGCTTTATTACTGAATGAAAGTAATCCGGGGAAAATTGGGCTGAATAGAAGTACAGCTGAGCCTTTTCTAGCAGTGTCTGAATGAAATGACAGTGAAGGTCTGTGAAAATGACATGAGCAGCATTCCACAAATACTTTAGGCAGAGGAGACCATTCAATATTGTACAGATTAGCCCTTGGTCCATCTTCAAGCTTCCCACGATATTGGTCTCTCCTTAGGATCTTAAGAAAATCTGTTCTTAAGAAAATTGCCAAGTCACATTTGCACAAGCAGAATTGTGTGAGTAACCAAAGATAAGTAAAACCAACACTTACAATAATCAATACATTTTAACCCTTAATTAAATACTTTCTTATTCATTATATCATTTCGAATACTTAATAATATTTAAGAGTTGGGGATTATTTCCCAAGCTTTAGAGGAAAGACCCCAGAAAAATACCATTATTAGTCTTAAATCAACAAATATGCTAGTGGCAGAACCAGAACTAGAGCCTAAGTATGTAATCCTTCTATTTCAGGATGACTTCTTTTCTAAGTAAAGGGTAATGGATCCTTAACAGATCAAAGGATTTACAATTGTTATTCCTGACAGTTGTGACCCCTCCCTTACCTGCAGCCATTTGCTTCTGTAAACAACTTGCTACACGTCCTTTTCCTGTCTGGACTATTTTCAGATAGTGACCAACTGGTATATCCAGGATGAGGTAATACATCCTAGAGGCCTATGTCAAAAAGGATGGAAATTAAGCATTTTAGAACCCTGTGCTTTAGGGTCTTGGAACAATATCGGCATCTTGCTCTGTGGCTGCCTTCCTACCAGTCCTAGCCAGTAAATAAAGGCTCTAAACTATAACATGTCTGCATCTGGTGTAATCTCTGATTGACCTCGTAAAACACCTAGGTTGCCTTGCTACCTAAGCAAGCATTACACTGCTGGGAGAAAAGCAGCCAATAGCTGGCAGGTATTCTGGGTCTGGCTAATGTCAAGTCTGAGTTAACAATATCAGTATGGCAGCATAGTTGCCTGTCCTATTTTTTTCCCCCAAAGATTTGAAGTGATAGGGATTGTGTATCTGCCCTGGCACCATGGGTGCAAACCAGCCAGTGCCACTTCACTGCCATCACTGCCACCACAAATGTGTTGCATTCATTTGTTAATAGGTAGGAGACTGGGAACACATTGGAATGGGGGACACTGAGGGCTTATTTGACACATGTGCTTTCTGGAGGCTTACATGTACCATGGAAAGTACATGTATCTAATAAAGGATTTGCACATAAATATAAAAAAAGAACTCTGCAAATGCAACATGAAGAAAGTAATCAATTTAAAAATAGGCAAACTATCTGCACATACCTCATGAACAAAATATAGAGATGGAAATTATATATTTGAAAAATGTTCCACATCCTATATCATCAAGGTAATGAAAACTAAACCAATAAGATACCACCACATACTTATCAGAATGGTCAAAATTGAAAACGCTAACATCAATCTGACAAGGACATGAAGAAATCAGAATTTCCATCCATTACTGATGGAAATGCAAAATGGTACAGTTTTATAATTTCCTACCAAACTAAACACATGCTTATTAACATATAATTCAGAAACAGTACTCCTTCATATTTATCTAAATAAGCTGATGACATTCAGTCACACAGAAGCCTACAGATGAATGTTTACAACCGGTTAATTCATAATTTCTAACACTGAAACAAAGTGAAATGACCTTACATGGATGAATGGATAAACAGTGATATAATCCTACAACAGAATATTTACTTAATAATAAAAGGAAATGTGTTATCAAGCCATAAATGTACATGGAGGAAGCTTAAATACATATTGCTAAGTCAAAGAAGCCTATGCCTGTATGATTCCTACTATGCATATGACATTCTAAAAGACGCAAACAAAACACAACAAAAAGAAGTATCCAGGGCTCATCATTTATAACAAAAATGGGGGTATTTCGAAAAGTTCGTGGGAAACAGAATTAAAATGCATATTTACTTTGCTGCAAAAAAAAAATCTTACAAAGCCATACATATAAGAGATCTTCAAATATTACATCCCAATGTATATTACCAAAAAATCTACCTCCTTGCTAATGGATGTGGGAAAACAGTGGAAGATGACTAGAGTCCTTTGACCTCCACCACCATGTGGGAGACTTGAATGAAGTCCCCTATGGATTTCAAAATTGTTTTGTGGGCCCAGCGCAGTGGCGCAGTGGTTAAGGTCCTCGCCTTGCACGCCCAGGATCCCATATGGGCGCCGGTTCTATCCCGGCAGCCCCGCTTCCCTTCCAGCTCCCTGCCTGTGGCCTGGGAAAGCAGCAGAGGACGGCCCAAAGCTTTGGGACCCTGCACCCGTGTGGGAGACCCGGAAGAGGCTCCTGGCTTCGGATCGGCATAGTATCGGCCCGTTGGGCTCACTTGGGGAGTGAATCATCGGATGGAAGATCTTCCTCTCTGTCTCTCCTCTCTGTATATCCGCCTTTCCAATAAAAAAATAATAAAAATAAAATCTAAAAAAAATTGTTTTGTACCAAAATAAAATCTAATTCTATTTTCCATGAATGTTTGAAGTCTGTTCATACCATATTAATGGGAAATAACTAATGGGAAATGGCAAGAAGCAATTTGGGGGGTAAGGGTTGAGTAATATATATTATATTTATGTTATCTAATTATCATATACTATATATGTTATATATTACATATAATATAATGTGTAACTATATATTATACTATGTTAATATTAATTATACTCTATTAATAATATATTTTATATTATATATTATACATTGTACTGTACTATATTAATAATATGTGTATATATACGCCTTCCACTCAATTTCAAACTAAAATTGTTCTCAAAATTTTGGGGAGCAGTTGCTTGCCACAGAAATTAAGCCATCTTCCATACTTGAGTTCCTCAGTTCAAGTCCCAACTTCACTGCAATTTCACATTCTAGCTCCTGTGCACCCAAGCAGACAGCGGGCAGTATCTCACGTACTCAGGTCCCTGTTACACACATGAAAAATCTGGAGTGGTTTGCTAGCTCCCAATTTCAGCCTGGCTCAGACATCGAAAAAGTGAATCAGCAGATAAAAGAATCTCTCTCTCTCTCTCTCTCTCTCTCTCTCTCTCTCCTTTCCTCTTTTCTTGTTTTCTCCCTCCTTAAAGCCACAAAGCAAGCAGATTAAAATTATTTAAAATATATTAAACAATTTAAATAAAGTATTAGAGATTTTAATAGTCTTCCCTAGTCAGAGAAGAGTTATCATTTATATTTCAACTAAATAATGACTTGTCAAATAGAAATAAAGCTCATATCATTTCTGGTAGCAGAGAAACAGGTTAATAAATGGCTAACCACATGAAAGATCCCAATTCTTGTCAGCATGTTCAATTGCCCATTTTAATGTCCTTTAAAGTCCATTCTCGCTAAAGTCAACAGGGTTGTGATTATTCTACATTGTTTTCTCTCTACATAATGCTGAACTCTGAAAGCAACAGTTTGAAAGTACAAGCAACCTATTTCCTATATATTTTTTTAAAATTTACTTACTTATTTACAAGGGAGAGCTACAGAGCAAGAGGGAAGGAGGGAGGGAGGGAGGGAGAGAGATATATCTTCCATACAATGGTTCACTTCTCAAATGGCTGCATTGGCAGGGTCTGGTCTAGGCCAAAGTCAGAAGCCTGGAATTCTATGCAAGTCACTCATGTTGGTGACAGAAGCCCAAGCACTTGAGCCATTTTCTACTGCTTTTCTGAGCACATCAGCAGGGAGCTAGATAAAAAGTGGTTTCAGGTGATTTGAACAAGTGTGTTCATATGGGATGCCAACGTCACAAGCAGTGAGCTGACCTACAGTGCACCAACACTGGTCCCTAGCTTAGAACACAAAGAGGATATAAGACAGAAATAAAAACAGCAGAAGACTAAGCTAGTCAACAAAGATCGAAAGAATGTTCTTATTGTCAGCCATTGTTTTGAATTTAAGGCCCAAATATTGGTGACCTACCATCATCATCCTCTCATTTTCCACTTCATTGAGTAACTCAGCAAATTCCTTGAAGGATTCAGCTGGAAAGAGAATAAAAAGTAACACAGATTAATCACTAGGCATCAAAAATGTGTTCAATGTCTATTGTGTGTTTCTTCTCTTTCCTCTCTGCCAATACCCCTACTCAAGAGATCTTTCCTAGCTGACACTTTATTTAATCTTCACAGCAGTGCTTAGAAATAACCAGAACTTCTCTCATTTCATAGGTAAGAAAAAGATTAGGGTATGAGCAATGGGTTTTGCTGTGTAAAGCATGGCACTTCTTGAATTCTGAAACTTTTTGGTACCTACTCCACTCTTCACCAACCTAAAGAAATAACTCTCTTAAGTTATCTGATTTGTGACTTAACTCTCATCATAAAATGAGAATAATAATAACTGTTATTTCAGAGTAGTTATGGAAACCGGATAAAATAATGGGCTGCGAGCTGTACTGCTTACTTTTTAGCAAAAAAAAAAAAAAAAAATCACATTCAATCTCAAATTTCTCAGTCACTTGAGACCTACCTTCTTTACCCAAAACTAATTCCTGTTTCACAGGGTTGCTATGATGGCTAAGTAAACACTCAATAAATACTAGTTTCATTTCTTGTTGTGTATAAGACAATGATCCTCAATTCTAGCTACACATTAGAGCCTTTTAGGGAACTTTAAATAATGAAAATATCACATTCCTCCCCAGACCATTTAAACTCATATTAAACATGCAAAATAAACATATTCATTTTTTTCCTGTACTCACATAACACACTGGAGTTTGTAAGGACCTCAAGAAGCTCACCAACAATAAAACAAACAATCCAGTTAAGAAACGGGCAAAGGTCATGAACAGGCATTTTATGGAGGATGAACTATAATGGCCAATAGACACATGAAAAATAAGTGTGCAAGATAACTATCCATCAGGGAAATGCAAGAAGAAACACTAATGGGGGAGGTTTCATCTCACCCTAGTGAGAATGGCTATCACTCAAACTCAAAAAATAACAAACGTTGGTGAGGATGTAGAGAAAAAGGTACACCTAATACAGTATTTGTGTGAATGTTAACTGTGACAACCATTATGGGGGATGATATGGAGATTCCACAGAAATTGAAAATAGGTGAACTATATGACCCAGTTATCCTAATTCTGGGAATTACCCAAACAAAATTAAACCAGCACATTAAAGTTATCTGTACCCCTGTATTTATATCTCAATTTTCAATAGCAGAGATAAGGAATCAACCCAGATGTCCAGTAACTAATGACTGAATAGAGAAAATGTGGTACATATCCATTATGGAATACTTCTAAGTTATAAAAAAGCGAAATCTGGTCTTTTACTAAAAGGAATGGATACAATAGAAGATCATTATCTTTAGTGAAATGAACCAGACACAAAAATACAAAGCATCATATGTTTTCTCTGATCTGTGGTAACTAACATAGAGTACAAAAATTTTAATGTATATGAGTAAAATCAACATCTTGAAACTTGATTGTTGCTTATAGCCCTTGTGCATTTCTACTTGTTGGATATTTAGTGGAAAACAAAGTCAGATTATAAAGTAAATTGAAAGTATGTTATCAGAAAAATTAGAAGGAAAAAGAGGGGGGAGTAGAAGGGTAGGAAATATATTGTGATTAACATTGTATATATGAAACACATAAATATGCTCTCTCTATATAAGTAAAATTTAAAAACAATCATGACTTGTGACACTAACTACAAGTGACAACCCCATAGGTCCTAAAAGACCGTCCCCTCACTTCAGACTCCAATCACAAGTCTTAGATTGTAATATACTCCCAACCAACAACGATATAATTTGGACATCTTCAAGAATGAAACCTCAGGTTTGGTAATTTTCTAGAATGGTTCACAGAACTCAGGAAAACACTTTACTTATTATTGCCAGTTTATTGCAAAGCATAGAACTCAAGAAATATACATAGGACTAGGTAGGTGGGAAGCAGCGCAGTTTCCATGCCCTCCTTCGGCTGGCAATCTGTTAGTTTCTGCAAGGTGTTCACTGTCCTGGAAGTTCTCTGAAGCCTAGTGCTTAATGTTTCATTATTATTATTATTTCCAAATGAAAAAGATAGTCATTCCTGTTTGTAATTTACTAGAACCTTCCTCCCCTCAGTTGCTTAGTGTTTGTAACAGGTGTGATCGAGTATGATTGAGTCCATTTCTAGTCATTCTGTCCTCCCTGGCTAGAGGAGTCAAAAGTTCCAAACTTGTAGCCATATAATTGGTTCCTCTGACCAACACTCTGTAAGAATCATCTCACCAAAATACGTAAGTATAGTTGGAATTGTCTTATTAACACTGAAAGGCATTCGTTTTTACTTCTATCAGTTAGGAAACCACAAGGGTTTAGAGGATCGATATCAGATACCAGGGACAAAGAAAAAAATTTATATCATGCTATATTACAGTATCACAGTCTGCTAAGTGTCTATAGGAAAGGTTGACTGGCCAGAGATAACGCAAATGCAGTGGGAAATGCGGAGCTGCTGAGTCTGGAAGTAACACTGAATTACCTGGATACTCCCAGGTAATTCTTAGACTGAAAAATCGTGTTCTGGGAACACAGACAGCATCCAGAGCGAGCTAATCTTCTCTAGTTCCCCTTATTATATATTTACATATCATGTTTCTGGCCTGATTTTATTAGAGTTTAGACACTAGGTTCCCAAACACAACCAACAGATAAATATCTTATTCTATAGTAGCCAAAGAGACTCATGTCATCTCATTCAACCCACTGCATATGCTTCAAGCCCTACCTACCACCATCAGCAAACATGACCAACTTGCCTTTGTAACCAACTTGTCTTGTGTACTCAAGACAACTCAAGTCTTTTTTTTTTTAAAAAAAGATTTATTTATTGGAAAGTCAGATATAGAGAGAGGAGGAAAGACCTAGAGAGGAAGATCTTCCATCCGATGATTCACTCCCCAAGTGAGCACAATGGCCGATGCTATGCTGATCCGAAGCCAGGATCCAGAACTTCTTCCGGGTATCCCACACGGGTGCAGGGTCCCAAGGCTTTGGGCTGTCCTCGACTGCTTTCCCAGGCCACAAGCAGGGAGCTGGATGGGAAGTGGAGCTGCCGGGATTAGAACTGGCGCCCATACAGGATCCCGGCATTTTCAAGGCGAGGACTTTAGCCACTAGGTCGCTGGGCCCGACAACTCAAGTCTTAAAGCTGAAAGTTTTGAGCTAGCACTATGGCTTGGCAAATTAAGTCACCATTTGCATTACCAGCATCCCATGGGTGTGCTGGTTCAAATCGCAGCTACTCCACTTCTGATCCGGCTCCTTGCCAATGCACAGGAGAAAGCAGCAAGCAATTGCCCGAGTGCTTGGGCCTCTGCATCCACAGGGGAGAGCCAGAAGAAGCTCGTGGCTCCCAGCTTAAGTCTGGCTCACAGTCCAGCCTTTATTGTAGACATCTGCAAAATGAACTACCAGATGAAAGACCAATCTCTCTCCTTCTCTAACTCTACCTTTCAAATAAATACAAACAAAACCTTTAAAAAGTAAAATAATAAAACTGAAAACTTCTCACTGCAGAAAACCCAAAGGTCTCAGGTTACCTGGACTGTCAGTGATCTTAAATGACAGCACATACAGTCTCCTGAGGAAAACCATTCCCCACCTTCAGGATGTATCTACTAAAAAAAAAAAAAAAAAAAAAACCTATCTTTAGAGTACTATAGAAAAGAAAGAGAATGCATCTTATTTTTTTAAAAAATTAGATGGGCACTAGATGATGGGGATTCCAGCTCAGGGACAACAAACGGAAATAAAAGAAGCATAAAGTACCGAGAGCAATACATTGGGATGGACAGCCTCATAATATCAGATTGCTGTGTTGTAATTACTTTACCCCTTTGAGATCCAATGGCCTTACCTGTCAAAGAGGAATGGAAATTATCTAGCTGACAGTACTGTTGTAAGGAGTAAGGCAGACGGTAAACATGAAAGGTCGACACACAGTAGATAATAAACATCACTCATTCCCCCCCTTCCCATCTTTCTGCCTTTCTAGTGCCACTTCTGCCACTTACTGCCAGGGTGATGACTGAGCAAGCCAATTCTCCTCCCTGGACTTCAATTCCTTCATACACAAAAATATAAACATATATAAATTAAACAAAATATTTTAAATTTTGATTATTTATTTATTTATTCATTTTTATTTGGAAGACAGAGTCAGAGATCTTCAAATGCCCCAATAGCCAGGGATGGGTCAGCAACCTGGAACTCAATGTGGAATTCTTATATAGGTGTCAGGGATCCACTTTTGGAGCCATTACCTTGCTCCTGCCAGGGTATAAATTAGCAGGAAGCTGGAATTGGAAGCAGAGTTGGGACTTCAACTCAGGCACTGCAATACATGATGACACATTCAAAGTGGCAACTTAATCTCTGGACTAAATACGTGCCTACACAGTGTCCCTGCAAATTCCCCAAGTTCTCACCAGAATCAGAAAATATATTCTCAAATGGTATCTAATTAAAATATTTTTTTTCAGTTGTGTGCTTCTGCTCTCTCTCTCTCTCTCTCTCTCTCTCTCTCTCTCTCATTCTCTCTCTTTAGTGGAGCATTTTAAGCCTTTGACTATAATCCTAATTCAAAATCTGTTATCTCATTAGTCTTAAAAGGAATATATATCAGAATCTAAAAAACAATGTTTTAAGCCAAATATCAATTTCCCTTCCTGAGAGAACTGGACCATTCAGCATTTAGTATTAAAGGAAGTTCCTTTCCGGGTAAATACAGGATACAAGAAAGTAGCATTTCTTTCTTCCAAGGATCAAGTTGCTACACATATTCAGGGAGATAACCTTTGTAAAAACTGCAAATTGGGTCAAAGTGCAACCACAGCACAGAGAAGGTAAATATCCTATTTGGAAAAAAATTAATGAGAAAAAAAAAAAAACCCTAAAAACTAAAATGTTCATTGACCTCCAGACCTCAGAAGTTGTGTGTTACAAAGTGAATCACACTTCTGTTGTTAGT